CTAGGTCATCTGTTCCTTAAACCCGTATCAGGAATGTTTCTGGATGTAAAATCCACCTTTAGTGCTTTAAATAATATTTGTAACCAGAAATCTGGAGGGTGGGTTACAACTGGCTCTCAGCAACTGGACAATGACTAGTCCGGCTGCTATCTCTTCTCTTTTGGTTTTTCTCCATGATTATTTTCTGAGATATGTGAAAAAGCAATTCCAGCTCCAGGAATGACATCTGGGCTCAGGTCTGAAAGAAATAGGAAGAGGAACACCATCCAGGGCCCTCTCTGTTAGACAAAGGAAAGGCTTTTCCAGAAACCCAGCAAAATTCTGCTAATACTTCCTTTGTGCAAGTGTGTCTGGTAAAGAAGAAACTTCACCCTCCGAAGGGAAAGAGCAGTGCAGGTGGGAATTGACAACAGTGTGGGTTAGCCACCCTCTTTTGCCAGCTTCCTTTTTATGGATAGATAACTGATTTTGTTTCCTGTTTACAGGAAAAAAAAGAAAAAAATTCTTACCTGTTCTGCCACCAGTTCTGCCCATTTATATACCCCTCACTCATTGTCTTTTCTTACAATGAAGAGGCATCTCTCTGATCCTTTGCCATTCCCACCTCTGAGGGACCCTGGCTGCCATCATATTCTCTCTCCCCTCAAACTCTGCATCTTTTGCCTGCTTCCTCGAAACGTTCAACTGGATTTTTACCTTTCAGATTCTCTGCTTTTCAGAGCTTTCAATCCACAAGGTGTTTTCTTCCCTTCCTCCCTCTTATATATATAACGCCAAACTTTTCCACAGTGACTGCACCATTTTACATTTCATCAGCAATTCACAAGGGTTCCAATTTCTCCACGTTCCCATCAACACTAAGTATGGTGAGGTTTTTTGTCTGTATTTTTAATCATAGCTATTCTAATGATGGTGTAGTGTCATTGTGATTTTGATTTATATTTCTTTAGTGACTAGTTAGGTTGAACATCTATACTTATTGGCCAATTGTATGTTTTATTTGGAGAAACATCTATTCATGTACTTTGTTTTTGAAGTGAGTTATTTTTGCTGTTGAATTTTAGGAATTATATATATATGTATATATACATATACATATATATATGTATATGTATATCAATCCCTCATTAGATATATAATTTGCAAATGTTTTCATGCCACGAGAATTTGTGGGTCATACACTGAGCTATGTTCTCCACACTGAAGCCGCTACTGCTCTGCTTAGCTCCGCAGTGCAGCGGTCCAACCCACTGCGCCACCAGGGAAGGCTCGATTTTTTTAATAACCAAAGTTTTTGCTTCCTTGATGTCTCTAAGGATATACTAGCAATGTATAAAATTGGAAGGTGTGTTACATCAGCTATTTAAATGTTGGTAGGTCAGTGGGGCTACATCTGAACTAGATCTGTCTGTGAAACCTTGTTCTTTATTCACCTGCTCTTAGCCCTGTTGTTACCTAGGTGGTTTTATGGTTTGACTTTCAATAATCATTTTATCCTTAATGATTAGTTTAAGTCAACCTTAGTAACTATTACACCTGCAAGTAATTTTGTTTCAGGGATGGATATATTACCCAGTCTGGGCCAATGAGAGCTGAGGGCTTCCCTTCTGAAAAAAAGTTTGCTTCTAAAAAAAAACAGAAGAGATGACACCTCTCTCCAGAATGCATGTAGTGGTGCTGCCATTGTAGCAGCTGCTGGAAGATGGAACTGACACAGATGGAGGGAGGAACCAAGGAGACTACAGAGAAGTAGAATGAGCCCTCAATACTATTCATTAAGTATTTAGAAGAGAAGGGGGCATTAACATCAATGGTCTAATTATGTCCTTAAGAAGTTGAGGGGGGGCGTTGAACAAGAGCAATTTAAAACCAAAGAAAGTAGATGTGAAAGAAATACAAGAACAGAGGCTTACACCTGGAGAAGAGGGAGTAAACAAGCACACTATCCTCCCACTGGAGCTTACATACATCATAAACAACATGCACAGAGCAGCTCCCTGGAGACTTTTCAAAGTAAGTAATAGTAAGTAGATTGTGGACAAAGATCAAAATTTGAAGCTTCATTTAACTAGCTGTGTGGGCCTTCTGTGGTGGCTCAATGGGTTAGGACACAGCACTGCAAGCCAACAGCAGGCGCTTCAGTGCAAGTTGGATCCCTGGCCTAGGAGGTGACCCACATGGCTGGGCAGACATCTCCTGACCCACCCACTGCTCCCCTCAAGCAGTATACTTTGTCAGTCTGCCTGTTCTGCTCCCTACTCTGTATCTGGTGAGTCCTCTCACCACCCCTGCACCTCTGGTTTGCACCACAGCTCTGTACACATAAATAAATCTTAAAAAAAAAAAAAAAAAAAACTAGCTTTGTATCACCCATTTTTTCTCTACCTTGGTCTCTCCCAGCTGTTAAAGGCAGCCTGCCACCCAGATAGGGAACAAAAAAGAATTACGACTTTTGCCCAAGACGTGGGAAAGGAGCTCTGAAGGCTAGAAAGGATGGGGAAAATCCCATATTCCTTTTTTCCCTTTGCCTTCTTCCCCACTCCAGCCTCCAGGCACTGCTTGGCAGTGGCAATGGCTAAAACAGCAACAGCAGAGAAGGCAAGAAAG